CCAAAGAGGAACCCTTTGGTGGCATGCTCACATTGCTTGGCAGCGAGCAACCATCTATGGTGCAATTATCATATACCCTCGTATGCCTTACCCATTCTCAACTCCAATCGAAGCAGAAATCCCTATAATATTCGGTAATACTTATTCTTTGTCATCTTATGATCTTTCTTTCAATATTTATATATAAATTGATCCTTGTTTATATTTGCCAGGAGAATGGTGGAATTTACCTGTTGAAGGAATAGAAACTGAAATGAACAAGTATGGTAATGGTCCGAACTCATCAGATGCTTATACAATTAATGGTTTGCCTGGATCACTCTACCCATGCTCCATTAGAGGTAAATTAAAATCATAACATAGCATCTATAGTTAGCACATACATGAAATCCTTTTACGAGAAATTTTGGAAGCATCCCATATTATTCTTAACTCACACTGATTAAGCATACAAACAAAACGTCATTGTACTGTTAAGCAAATAAATTATTATTCATAATATTACTTGTTGAAAATGACATAACAACACTCCTAATTAATAAAAAGTAATATTTTTAAAAACATCCGTTTGTCATGTATTCCACGTTGCAAATGATTTGAAGATGTTAGCCAGCCTGTACCATCCTGTAATTAAAGTTATATAGACTAAATGAAACCAAACTGGTGACATGATTTTACAATAACGTAGCTGGTTGTATTCTCAAATAATATTATAATACCGATGATTTGGTTAAATTTGTGTCGTCTATTGTGAAAATTAGCAGCTTACTTTTTATTTTATTTTATTTCTATGATATATTTATACTTTTTGTTTTTATTCATAAAACATTTTTGAGTTAATAGATCGACGCTCTTACTAGCGTGGATTAGAGTCCCGGTCCAAAAACAAAAACTATCATATATATATTTCAGTACGTTAATTTAGGCGATATAAAACCAAAACTAGGACCCGATTTTGTATCATTAAAATCTTTTCACATGCCACTTGATGTGTTGATGTATGCTGTTTTTTCAAGTTATGATATATAAAGTAAAGTAAACTCTTTCCTCATCTCCCGAGGTACTTTTTGCGCACCAAAATGTTAAAAGAAATCAAATGCCGACTGATTACCGGTTTTACAAGCTACAAAATCGCTACAATTAATAGAAACAGGATTCTTATTATATGTATAAATTATATGCGATTAATCGCTACAATTAATAATTTGTATATATCAATTTTTTATATTTTAGAAAAGCTATACAATACAACATTTTAAAACATAAAATGTTGTGTATTGAAAAAAATTGTTGTGTATAAATAAGTACTATATTTTGCAAGTATGGTCAAATAACTGAAAATTAATTAAAAATAACTGAAAATTAATTAAAAATATTTAAATATGAATTTAACTTTCAAGCGGAATATTAAAAAATTGAAAATTAACCAAAATGGGGAAACTGAAAATTAGCGGTTTAAACAGTGAAATACATGAGGACCATAGATTGGCAAGGCGCCTTCGTGGGCTTTTCGTCGATCTTGAAATTGCTGATGAATTAAAAGTTATATGTACTTATTTGAATTTTTCCATTATTTTTGTCTTTCTCTTTCTCTTACTAATCAGTGAATGTTTTGGTTAGGTTTTCAGTCTGCTCCACATCATACATTTACCTATATTTATTTGACAAAAAAAAAATATTGTTTTATCTCTCAATTTGCCAAATTTATATATAATAAGATGATTCCCCAATTCTACATTTTGAAAAACGGTATAAAACCTCTGCAATGCCGTGTGTTTTCTATTTAATAATAATAATAATAATAATAATAATGATGATGATGATGATGATGATGATGATGATGATTTACTAAAACAATTTATAGAGCAATAATATTAAACTTGTACAAGTATAGTTTTAAAGATTTAGTTTTGGGATAATGACTTAAAAGGGTAATATATTTTTCGATTTGTACATATTTGGTTACTGAATTTTTTTTCGTCCATATTTACCCCTTCAACTTGTTAAACTGTACACATTCCGTCCTTATGACCGGTTACTCTAAGTTAGTCGGGAAAAATAACTTAATAAGGTAATATATTTCTCATTTTGTACACATTTAGTCATTAATATTTTTGTACATATTTACTCCTTAATATATATTTTTTTCAAAATAAGTCATTTTTGTTTTTATACTCATTCAGTACTTATGAATAATTTCTTTAGGTTTTTCTCACGACATCTTACGTGGGACATGTCCATCGCGACCTCGACTGCTTGGTTGCGTAAGTCTTGTGATTTGGCTTAGGTCTTGTATTCTGAACGTCGTAACTTCTTCATATGATATCATATTTGAACGATCTTTATATCCACGTGTTCGTTTTTTGAGTCTACTACAACTTTCGTTAAGATTACTCCCGTTAAAATGTAATATATTTTTACTTACAATTTTATTAAAAAAAACATCCATACATGCATAAATAAAAAAACGTATGGATATAAAGATTGTAATTAAAAATATATTAGTTTTTAACGAGAGTAATCTAAATAAAAGTTGTAGTAGACTAAAATACGAACACATGGATATAAAGATCGTTGAAATTCGAAATCGTATGAAGAAAATTATGATTCATAACACATGACCTAGGCAACCAAGTAGTCGAGACCGCGATGGACATAAGCATCAAAAGCCTCAAACACCTCATTAATGAATGTCCCACGTAAGATGTCTTCAGAAAAATCTAAAGAAATCTTTCATAAGTACTGAATGAGTACAAAAACAAAATTGACTTATTTTGCAACAAAAAAAATATTAAGGACTAAATGTGTACAAAAATATTAATGACTAAATGTGTACAAAGTGAGAAATATATTACCCTATTAAGTCATTTTTACCGGCTAATCTGGAGTAGCCGATCATAAGGACTGAATGTGTATAGTTTAAAAAGTTGAAGGGGTAAATGTGGATGAAAAAAAACTTAGTGGCCAAATCGAAAAATATATTAAAGTCATTATCCATTTACTTTTTGCTAGAAATCAGTTTCTTTAAGATGAGGAGGAATTATAATTTTAAGAATTTGTGTTACTTTACATGCAGATACTTTTGTCCAGACTGTGGAACGCGGGAAGACGTACATGCTTAGAATCATTAACGCAGCCCTTAACGATGAGCTCTTCTTCGCCATAGCCAACCATACACTTACAGTCGTTGAAATCGATGCCTCTTACACCAAACCCTTTACCACCGAAGCCATCATGATCACTCCCGGTCAAACTTCCACTGTGCTCTTCACTGCAAATCAAGTCAAACATGACTCAACTGGATTGTTTGTCATGGCAGCCAGGCCTTACCTCACCACTGTATTCCCTTTCGACAACACTACCACAATTGGTTTCTTTAAATACAAAGGAACCCTTGCTGAAAATATGGCTCTCCCTGAACCATATAAAGTTCGTTTGCCTTACCATCTTCCTCGTATGGAAGATCATGCATTTGCAATAAGTTTTTCAAATCAACTTCGGAGTCTTGGAACCCCTAAGTACCCTTGTAGTGTACCAAAAAGAATAGATAAAAGAGTTGTCATCACCATAAGTCTTAATCTTCAAGATTGTCCTGTTAACCAAACATGCAAAGGGTATAACGGGAAGAGATTTGCAGCTTCTATGAACAACCAGTCCTTTATCCGTCCCTTAACCTCCATACTTGACTGGCATTACCGTCAATATTCTTCTACGCAGTACTCTTACGACTTCCCACAAAAGCCACCACATGTTTTTGACTATACTGGAGTGGATCCAATGACACATAACCTAAATCCAAATTTTGGTACAAAGCTGTTTGCAGTGGAATACGGGACTATGTTAGAAATTGTGCTGCAAGACACGAGTTTCCTTAACTTGGAAAATCACCCAATTCATATCCATGGTCATAACTTTTTCATCGTGGGTACAGGGTTTGGGAATTATGATGCTGAGAAAGATACTGGCAGTTATAACCTTGTGGACCCCCCTGAGAGGAACACTGTTGCTGTACCAATGGGGGGATGGGCTGCTGTTAGAATTAATGCCGACAATCCAGGGGTATGGTTTATGCATTGTCATCTTGAAGAGCATACTTCATGGGGTCTTGCTGCAGGTTTCATTGTGAAAAATGGTGCAAAGCCATATCAAAAATTGCTTCCTCCACCTAATGATCTTCCAGCATGTTGACTTGCATACTTGCTAGTTTCTATATACAACAATAGGTTTTTAGCTTCCTGAACCTTTTCAGGTCAATAGCAGAGTAAGTTCTCGACTTCTGTTAATAGAAAAGTATTAAACAGATGTTGTATAATTTCCCTATGTTGTCTAGAATGTATTATAATTATTTAGCTGAACGAAGCTCAATTATATAAATATATCGGAATTTAGTGAGAAAACTGGTTATTGCTTCCATATCGTATGAACGCATATGATGATGATTCACAACAGAGGTGAAACATGGGAAGAAAATAGAAGAGATTTTGGGCAATTTTTTGTTGTATATTATGGTCTAAAAACACTGCAATTAAAAGGATTAAATACTCGAAAAAGAATAGGAATAATCTCATAAAACACCTTATATTTTTATTTTTTCTATATTAAACCTCAATTTTATTTTCTTCCTGAAAAAAAAAAACCTTATATTTATTTTTTATTTTTTTTCGAAAAAAAACTCTAACTTTGTCTTTTTTTCGAAAAGAATAAACCTCATTCCAAAAAAACCTCAACTTTTTTACCTTTTTCCGAAAAAAAATCCACACATTTTAAAAGTTTTTTAGGAAACAAATGACTAAAACGGTCAAGTTGAAAAAATGAAAAAATATGAGGTTTATTTCAAGGAAAAAATATAGTTGAGGTTTAATCCGGAAAACATACAAATTATAAGGTCTTGTATGAGATTAAGCAAAAAGAATATCAAGAAAATAAGAATGATACTATTGTTTCTTTAGTAACAAACTGCTACTTTATTTACTCATACAGAAACCAAAACATCAAAACGAAGAAGAATAAAATGTATGTATTATTTCTATAAAACTCGTGAATATTGAATTGTTTATATATCAAACAAAAATAAATAACAATCAGCAAATAACAACATAAATTGAACAAATTACATGTGGTTTGGGTAAACTTGCGTGTTTGGTCGTATTTTTTTTGTTTTGCAATCAGACCATCCTCACTTTTTGTTTTTATTACAAACTTGGTATGTGCGTTTGTTAGCCGTTAACCCCAAACGTTAAGGGCCCACATATACCTGCTATACCAGGGCTATTTTCGTCCTTTTAATTCAAAAAAACTATGTAAGCGTTAACATTATCGACATCTCTCTCTCTCTCTCTCTCTCTCTCTCTCTCTATAAGGTCCTAAAACGGATCTTTACCAATGATCAAGCAATCAAACAATCAAAAACAATCAGAATAAGAGTAGAAGAAGAAGAGAAATCAAGCTTGCACACGTTTATTTCTGAAAACGTCTGGTACAACTCGATACACTTGGCCGTAATCTCTAGAGCATCAACAACCTGACAATGAC